CGTGGTTTATAGAAATATGGCTACTATAATTATAAGGTAGTCTGTAGACCTATCTACCATGAAAATAATGGCATGAATAAGCTGAAATTTTATTTGGTAAACTTCAATGAGGCAATGGTACAGTGGTTATTGTGTTTGTTTTGCATCACAAAGATTCTTGGTTTGATTCCCAGAGCTGACTGCTCACTCAGTAGCATAGAGTATAGTCTGCCTTCCAAACAGGCGGTATTAGTTTTGGGAGACGCATGCAATTGCAATTATCACCTAAGACAACACAAAAGTCTAAAGAGAAAACGGTGACTTCAATATCCAGAAATGTCGCCTGGCACAAAAATATGCAGCTTGAAACTTGACTTTACAAACAAAAATGTTTATTTTACTTGCAAAGAACCATATACAAAAAGCAAATTACTTCAATATCTGTGAATAAATCCACTACATCGAAAGAGAAAAACATCAACTGAATGCAGTATTATTATAACATGTCAGGAATAGGTAGTTGAATTTATAGAGATATGTATTCTGGGTAATTGTTGAATTCACAGAGAAGGGAATTCTGGGTTATTGTTGAATTTATAGAGAAGGGAATTCTGGGTAATTGTTGAATTTATAGAGAAGGGAATTCTGGGTTTGTAATTGATCGAGAAAGTTAGGTCAATTGAAAAATCTGTTTCATCAAAAAATATTTTCTACCAAATTTCAGATTACATAATTAATTTTTTTCACCAAATAAACAGATTTCCAAACTTTTTAAAGAAGTAACATGTATGAGAGTTACCGGTAAACAAAAATTACACAATGCTTTTTAAAAATGGGATTTGTAAGTGGAAACATAGCTGATATTAGGCATCAAAAATTTAATTTCTATTCACAGGATTCAGAATCTCAAGTAAAATGGATTCAATGAAGGTTCAAACAAATTACTGGGAAAAGAATTACTACTAATTTGAATTGGAAAGTAACTTCCACACCATAATCTGGGTTTGTTGATCTGTTATGTCTTGGCTACAGTGGATTGTTGAGCCATCATCTGTGCTTGGATCTTCATTTGCATAACTCCAACAATAGCTTAAAGATAAAAATGATTTTGATATTAGTAAAAAAGTTAAGTCAAAGCACTATATTAAAATATGGCACAACTGTTGGACCACCACTTGTCTTCAATATATATTTTACATGTCTTAAATTATTCATTCAGAGAATAAAGGACAATGTACTGCCAATAATAACAGGGCAAGGATATGTGCAAATAATGGTATATTATTG